GCTGTGTGTGGTTCAGTCCCCACTGTCTCATGGTGAGGCACCCGAACTCCAGCCCCTTCTAAGAGTTTTCACACAAGGAATCTGAGTGCTTCTTTAAGCTATCCTTGACCTAGGTGCTGGGGATGGGGATATGTGCAGTGTTGGTAGAGGACATGTTTATCACTAGGCACAATGCCTGGGTGAAATCTCCAACACCAAAATATAAACTCCCCCCAAACCACAGATAGCTTCTCCAAAAGTAAAATGCTGCTGCTGGCCGCCTGCTGCTCAGGCCCTCCTGAATGAGAGGAAGCACCTTCCTGAGGTGCACACACCTGTGCCCCCTTCCTCTCCATGGAGCTTTTGGGCTTGACTGGGGTGTCTGTGCACGCGTACACACGTGTAGGTGGCAGGTGTGTGGAGGTCTTAATGAGAGGCCTCCTCTACAGGATCGCTCGTACCCTGCCCACCTCACAAGCTCCCGTGAATAACTTTACCTTTGAACTTGCCTTGCATTCAGCCCCTGATCCTTGGGATTTGGTGACAATCCTTGGCTGGCAGGAAGCTTTGATCCTTGGGGAGTCCAGAGGAAGTCCTGTGATGTGTGGGATTGGAGAGAAGCTGCACAAGGGTGGGTTGCTAAGGTGGACCCATTAATTAAGAAGGAGGCTTTAACACTCACATCCCTGAAAAAGCTGGGCGCCCGATAGCAGGAGCTCAGCCCCTGCAAGGATGCAGTGTGTTTGCACAAGCGGCTCTGGTATCTAAGGACACAGCACTGTTCAGGGAAATTCCTACCCACACCCCAGGAAGAGCACAGTGCCTCAGACTTCCCCTTTTAAAGAGGTAAAGCTGCCTTCTTTGAATGGTAGGTGGCTGTAGGAGAAAGAAATCTCTGAGGTCTCCAAATGTAGCTCAGATGGCAGAGCATTTGCCCAGCTCTGGGTCCAATCCCTGTACGGCTAAAAAGAGACAAGGGGGCACATGCCTGTACTCTCAACCTCTAGGAGAAAGCAGCAGAGGAGTTCAGAATCATCCTTGACTACAGAGAGAGCTGGAGGCCAGGGACAGCAAGATGGCTCAGTGGGTAAAGGCGCTTGCTGCCAAGCCTGATGACCCAAGTTCAATCCCTACCTACATAGTATAGGGAGAGAAGTGACTCCCACCCTCACACATGTGTTAGTCAAGGCACATGTACAGTCACATACATTTATACATACCAAATAAATAAATAGAACTTTTATAATAAACATAATTATAATTTTTAAACTATTTTTGCTTAGAAACTACTTTATTTCATATGGGACTTGCTCATGCACCCCAAAGCCATTCTTTGGTTACCCAGTAAGTGTCACAGTGAAGCCCCCTTCAGCAGCAGGGTACTGTTCCTCCTCTCCCACCCACTTGCAAAGGCAGATGACTTCCTTTGATCCCGATAATCAAGCTCACTGTTTACTGTGCAGAGACCTCGCTGTGCCATGTGTGTCTGCCTTCCCCCATGGGATTTGGCTGCCAGAGGGACGGGTTCCTGGATTAGTCATGATTTTAGAACCGGTATACTGCCTGGGTACCGTGCAGGCCCTTCATAACGATTATTGAATGGGTAACCGTGAAGCAGAACCTCCTTGCAGAGACAGTTTAGGAGAGTGTGGATAGTGCCTGGTTAGGACGGTCCCTGCCATGTTCCCGTGTGTCATATGCTCCTTGAGAAAATCCAGGATATGCCTCACAGCACCTGCTGAGCTTGGCTTACGGGGCTCATGGAGCAACACTTAGAAAGGAACAGATGTGGCAGGACTGACTATTTAAAACCTGCGTCCCCGTGCAAAGTCAAAATATAAGACCCCAGTTAAAGAAGGGGTAAGGGTAGAGAGATGGCTCTGCAGGTGCATGCTTACTGTCCTTGCAAGGACCTGGCTTCATTTCCTAGCAGCTACACAGCAGCTCACAACTGTCTATAACTCCAGTTCCAGATTACACACGATACACAGACATTCATGCAAGCAAAGCACTCATCACATAAAATAAATACATCTTTTAAAAAACTGATATATTTATTTAATGTATATGAGTGCTTAAAATATATATAATGTACATTAAATATATATAATGTATATATTTGCATGTATACCTGAATGACAGAAGAGGGTGTCAAATCTCAATGTAGATGGTTGTGAGTCACCATGTGGGTGCTGGGAATTGAACTCAAAAACTCTGGAAGAGCAGCCAGCACTCTTAACTGCTGAGCCATCTCTCCAGCCCCAAATAAATACAAATTTTAAAACATTTTTAAAAAGAGGACAGAAGTACCATTAGTAATAGTAAAATACAGTTTTCCCCTTTCCCTTCCAGAATCTCACTTGTCTTGTCCTGGTGTTTACTGATTGCCACTGAGGTTGCTCTAAGGAGAAGGAAAACTGAAGTGCGAAATAATTGCATGCTCTTCATAGCTCATCTTTACCCTGTGCAATGTCAATCTTAAATGCAAATAGAAGAGTGTTTACTTTGTGTGCAGAATCACCCAGATTACACACTGTGTAGCCTGCAACTTGCACATGCATGTGCCTCTCCACCATCGGGAAAGGGAGGGAACTGCACAAGTGAGCACAGCCACTTCCCTTCTTGATTCCTGCCCCTGCTCTCAGCGCTGTGTCCCTCCTTCAGGCTGACCGGAAGGAGCAAGGATGATAGATGGTTATGCTTCCTTCTATGTCGTTGATTTTAGTGTAAATGTTTGGCTAAAACAAAAACATGAATGGGTAAGAAAGGATGTCAAGTAGGGTTCCCTGACCATCTGTCTTTCTTAGAAAGCCCTTACCTTCTTTGTGTGGTGGGAACAGCTCCTAGTTAGAATGGAAAGCTGGAACCCTCCAGGCTGTCAGCACCTTCCTGTGTTCAGTTGTAAGAGTGACAGACACCGTGATCTGCTTCTGGCTTCCAGGGTTGCTCATCTCCCTTCACCATAGTCTGCCAGGGGGTTGTCTTCCTGGGCCATAGTGACCGCAGGCAGAGATGCACCAATGAGATGCAGCGTGCGTCTCCGCTGCTCATGCTCCTGCTCCATTCCCACACTGGATGTCATTTACAAGATACAGAGCCAATACAAATGATTTCAGTAATAGGTCGTTAAAGCAGGCAGCACAGGCCTTGGGGGACTGGACTGCCTGGGTGGCACTGTGTCGATAGATGTCCTTAGAATTAAGAAGCTGGTCAGGAGTGGCATGTGTGCCTCATTACCCATGAATGTGTTCCATCATCTGCCAGATGCCAGTCATTTTATGAAGTACTGGGCCACACTAGAGGAAGAAGGCAAGACAGGGCTTGGGCATTAGTAGTATTTGTGATCTAATAAGGAAAATTTTTTTTTTTTTTTTTTTTTGGTTTTTCGAGACAGGGTTTCTCTGTGGCTTTGGAGCCTGTCCTGGAACTAGCTCTTGTAGACCAGGCTGGTCTCGAACTCACAAAGATCCGCCTGCCTCTGCCTCCCAAGTGATTAAAGGCGTGCGCCACCACCGCCCGGCCTAGGAAAATATTTTTAATTATATAACACCAATCCCCAACATAAATTAAAAAACAACATCACAACAAATAAATGATAATTGTGATAGGGACTACAGACAGAATTCAAGGAGATTAGACTTAGCTTGGTGGACATTTGAGAGAAAAGCTTTTGGACGTGGTATCTTGTAGGTGTGTGTAGGATAAAGAGGATGTGGAGTAGCCTCCCAGCATAAAGGGATAGCATTGCAAAGGTGTGGGTCAGGGAAGGACCTCTGCTTAGGAAGAAAGATCTAGAGCCAGAGCTCAAGCAGCCAGAGGGAGGCTGGGTGTGGGAAGGGCGAGCCGGGGCTTTTTAGGGTGACCCTGTTCTCTGCCTTGCCCCATTCTTCCCCAGTGCCCATGCTGACCAAGAACCTCACAAGGTGGAAGAATCCTAATTTCCCATAGCAAGCCCAAGACACATGATACAGCACCTCAAACCCACAGAGATCTGCCAGCTTCTGTCTGCTCAGTGCTGGGATTAAAGACTTTTTTTTTTTGTTCCATGCTGCCCAGCCCTAAAAAAATTTTAAACTATTCCAGGCAGTGGTGGCACATATGTTTAATCCCAGCTCTCAGGAAGCAGAGGTAGGCGAATTTCTGTGAGTTTGAGGCTAGCCTGATCTACAGAGCGAGTTCCAGGACAGTCAGGGCTACACAGAGAAACCCTGTCTTGAAAAACCAAAAATAAAATAAAATAATTTTTTTAAAGATTTATTTATTTATTATGTATACAACATTCTGCCTCCATGTATGCCCGCACGCCAGAGGAGGGCGCCAGATCTCAGTACAGATGGTTGTGAGCCACCATGTGGTTGCTGGGAATTGAACTCAGGACCTCTGGAAGAGCAGCCAGTGCTCTTAACCTCTGAGCCATCTCTCCAGCCCCCTAAAATAATTTTTTTTAAAAAAACTAGATCCAAACATACCTGTAACACTCAAAAGAATGAGGCACAGGGGTCTCAAGTTTAAGGCCAGTCTGTCTCAGAAAAACAAAACCAGGAGATGGTTCAGTGGGCAAAAGCGCTTTCCACCAAGGGGACCGTGAGATGGTTGAGTGGGTAAAGGCGTTTGCTACCAAGGCTTCTGACTTCAGTTCTGCCCTCAGGATCCACATGGTCGAAGGAGAGAACTGACTTCCGTGTGTGCTTGTGCATGCACACATAGGGCCTGAGTAAAATGTGGGCAGCCAGCTGTTCTAGAAGCATCTGTACCCAGGCAGTCTTACTGTCTTTGTCCTGAGGCTTCTGCAAGCCTTTGACTGGAGGATCCAGGCGCTAAACCAGGGCCTGGAAATAATGAGGAGCAGCCTAAAGTCCACAGTGAAATGTCGCGGGTAAGAGACACAAAGGAACCTTCTGTGGGACAAGGGCCACAGCCAGCTCTCCCTTCTCCAGGTTGGAAGGTCCCTACATTATCTTCACAAGGACGCCTGAGATTGCTTCCCAGCAGAGGTGCTTATGACCTGTCTCTCTATCCAGGTGCTGAGCAATGTCCTCAAGGATCTCTATCACCTGCTAAAGCATGTGGTGCATCTGGAACCTGATGATGTGGCCAAGCTACATGCCCAACTTGCCCTGGAAGAGCTGGATGAGATCATCAGGAACTTCCTGTTCCCTCCCCAGAAGCTGGAGAAGAAGATCGTGGTCCTGCCATAGTCCTGGTTCCTAGAACCTGGAAGACTGGGAGGGACCAAGCAGCCAAAGCAGTGGCCACACACCTCCCAGCAGATGGCTCCACCTCCTTGGTGCTGGCAATATGGCAGGCTTTAAGGTAGCTCTGTGGTGCTGGGCACTTGGTGTTCAGGGCTACCTTTCTAGAGCGTCCATTTAGGCTCCTGCATCTGGCCCAGAGCATGTGCAATTAGAAGGGAAAGGATGAATTCCATCTAATCTGCACATTTTCATTGTCCTGTGCTATTTAGAGGAGATGCACATGTGACTGTGGACCATTTTCTTGCAGCTGGAGAGGCTGCCTGCACAGGTCCCATCTTGATATTCTTTCATGGTGAGATGATTCTGCCTGTGATGAGGAGCAGGCAGAGCTGTCGCGTTTGGCTGTAAAAGAGTCATGTGGGTGTGCAGCTGTGGGAAGGGGAAGGAAACATTACTTAAACGTACGAAAAGGAATAAAATTACCTTGTTGGAATAATCAGCCAGGCTGACTCTGGTCGTTGAGCTGATTGACGCTTGCAGAAAGAAAGGAGTAAGCACTGTTTGTCCTCTAGGGCCATTTTCTTTTGCTCCCTCTGCTCCTTTTTTGTTTGGTTTGGTTTGTTTTTCAAGACAAGTTTTCCTGCGTAGCTCTGGCTGTCCTAGAACTCTCTGTGGACCAGGTTAGCCTTGAACTCCACCTGCCTCTGCCTCCTAAGTGAATAAAGGCGCACACCACCACTGCCTGGCTCCTCTGCTCATTTGCAGGGTGAAAACAGACAGTGGAATAGACTTTCTGAGAAAAGGCAGACAGAAAATGTGTTACATATGGTGGCCTGCCACCAGCTCATTGAAACAATCTCAGATGTAACTCTGTGGTTGCTGATTCATTTATTTATATATTTTGGTGTTTTCATTGCACAGGAAGGAAGGAAGGAAGGAAGGAAGGAAGGAAGGAAGGAAGGAAGGAAGGAAGGAAGGAAGGAAGGAAGGAAGGAAAGAGATTGAAGACTGAGGAGATACCTCAGTCCCTAAAGTATTTGCTATGCAGGCATGAAGACCTCAGCTCAGTCCCCCAGCATCCAAGTGAAAAGGCTGCTTGTGGCAGCACATGCCTATAATCCAGCACTGGGAGGAGAGACAGGCACATCAATGAGGCTCACTGGCCAGCCAGCGTAAAAAAAAAAAAGAGCCAAGTACTCAAGAGGCAGGGAGGCAGGTGGATCTCTCTAAGTTCGAGGTCCACCTGGTCTACAAGTTCCAGGACAGCCAGGGGCACACAAAGAAACCCTGTCATGAAAAAAGCCAGGCAATGCCTCCTGAGAAACAGCACCCAAGGTTGTCATCTGATCCACACACATACACAGTGTGCATGTACCCTCACCAACATGAACATACACACACGAAGAAGAAACTGGCTGGCTGCCTCAGATAAGCCCTCTCTGTTGCCCACCTTGACACGTCTAATCGGGAGTTTCCTCAGCACCACAGGACTAAGCATGGAACTTTGTCACGAGACTTTCTAAAGGAAGCAGAACCCAACTCTGACGGCGTGCTGACACACACATGCTCCTGCCTGTTAGCAATAAGCCAGGTTACAGCGGGGCCTCGGCTCAGCCTTCCTCATAGGCTTCCCCAGAAAGGGGTATCCCTAGAAAGGGGCTTCCCCCAGAAAGGGATAGCTCACAGTTACAAACCACAGTCAGCCTAGCAAGCCAAGGGGCAGTGGTAGTGCACACCCTTGACCCCAGCACTCAGGAGCCAATTCCAGGCCAGCCAGGGCTACACAGTGAAGCTGTCTTAGGGGGAAAATCAGAACAGAGGCCCATGAGTGCTTTGAGGGAATATTTCTGTTCAGCTAGAGCAATAGCATTAGTTTGTATTTTTCAGATCAAGAATGTCCATAAAATCAGGGTTGGTGTTTTTAAGACAAGGATTTTCTTAGATCACCTGGACAAACGTGAAAATCCTCTTCCTTCCTTCCTTTTTTTCTTTCTTCCTTTCTTCCTTTCTTTCTTTCTTTCTATTTTTTGTTTGTTTGTTTTGTTCTGGTTTTTGTGTGTTTTTTGTTTTTCGAGACAGGGTTTTTCTCTGTGTGGCCCTGGCTGTCCTAGAACTCGTTCTGTAGACCAGACTGGCCTCGATTAGCGTTTAGAGTCCATACAGCTTAGAGCTGGAGAGATGGCTCAGCAGTGCATGCTGTGCTTGCAGAGGACCCAAGTCTGGTTCCCAGCACCCACATCAGGCAGCTCCACCTCTGGCCTCTGAGGGCACCAGCACTCATATGTACACATACACACAGAAATCATTTTTTAAATTATTTACATATATGTATGTGTACACACACCCCACATGTATATAATTTAAAATGAGAAAGCCTGCTCAGACCTACAGGTTGACTATGTCAGGCGGTCCATGTAACTGTCCATGGTAGCACTGACTTGAGGACCTTCTCCATCTGAATCCATGTGCCCCTCAGAGCCTCTTAGCCCGTTTAGCTCCATGTATAAGTTGACTTATATTTGAACTATTTATCAAAAGACTCAAAGTATTTGACTTTGTTGATTTTGGTATGCTTAATTTAAGAGTAATTGTTTTCTTCCTGACTTCAAATTTAAAGAGAAGATAATTTAATGTAACCCTTCTAAACGTTGCCAAATTATTAAAAATTATCAAATAACTCTTCTAAGCCATGCATGGTAGTTAATTCTTGTAACCACAGCACTCAGGAGGTTAAGGCAGGAGGTTTCAGTGAGTTCAAAGTCAGTTTGTTGCGCTCTCCCACCAAAGCACTGAGAGCATAGCTCATAGCAAAAGAACCAAACTATCCTTAGGAGCTTCTGCTGTAGTGAGTTCAAGGACAGCCAGAGCTACATAAAGAGACCTTATGGTGGTCACCTTTAATGTAGCGCACGCCTTTACTCCCAGCACTCGGGAGGCAGAGGCAGGCAGATTTTTGGACACTCAAGGCAACCTGGTCTACAGAGTGAGCGCAGGACAGCCAGGGCTGCAGAGAGAAATCCTGTCTCAGAGAGAGAGAGAGAGAGAGAGAGAGAGAGAGAGAGAGAGAGAGACAGAGAGACAGAGAGACAGAGAGAAGGAGAGGGAGAGTCTTGAATAAAAACAAAGAGAAACTCTGGGCTAGCAAGATAGCATAACATGTAAGGGTTTTGGCTGCCAAGCCTGACAGTGTGAGTTCGAATCCCAGGGAACCCATAATAGAGGAATTAATGTAATAAAATTATTTGTAAAGTCAGAAGTGAGGACAGCGAGTGTCGGGTGAAAGCTCTCAGTTGAGGTACTACAACCTGGTGAAGTCGGTAGCTCAGAAAAACCACAGGGATGAACGGGTGTCCCCAAAGACGTGGGAAGAAAACCTCCCAGAAGGGGGACAGAAAGTACAAAGCCCCCCCCCCCCCCGAGCTGTGAGGCTGAGGAGGAACTGGAATCTATGGTGGCATAGACAGAGTAAGGGGGACGGAAAGGGAGCAGAGAGGTTCGCTGAACAAAGGATGCAGCCACAGACGAATTTCCCTGAAACCGCTTCCTTCAGCTTGTTTCTGGAAAGTGCTGCAAAGCTAATATGGTATGTGTTGTAAAACTGGAAATAAATATAACCACACAGCCCTTTTTCTATTTTCTGCTCAATCACAAGAAAGCAGCAGGCTGATTCCTCTCTACTCCCCTCCCCCCAGTTTGGCTTCTGTTGCTCCTACAACAACAGAAAGGACAGCAAGTGTGTGCATCTGCCGGGATCCACCCACAGGCCCTGGCCTGTCCCTTTATCTCAGAGGACACCTGAAGGAAGTGCCACAGCCCTCTGCCTGTGACTCTCACCAGGGGTTTGGAAGGGTGGCCATGGCATGGGAAAACTGATTAGTTTGTGGTAATAAGCTGGGGGATGGTCCATTTGTCTGACCTGTTAAGACCAGAGAAAGCCTTCTGTAGTTTCCCACAGCCCGGTTTCTATGACAGCGGAGTGCTGAATGGATGTTGAGAGCTGGCCACCTTTCTGTGACTGTGTGGCTACCTTCCCTGAGCCCCAGCAGTGCTGATGACCTCGAGGGCCTGGCTGCGTCCTGCTGCAGGCTCGCTTGTGCTGCAGTCACATGCGCAGCCTCACTGCGGTGTGCTGCACTTCTGACTGCTCTGAGCTCAGTGTCCGCTTGGCATGGGGGCTGGGAATAAGTCTGGCTGCTGTCTGTGCCGCAGCCTCTTCCCTGCCGGCCAGCACAAGCTGTGCTGCAGCACACACTGGCAGGGAAGCTAGACCCTCTCATCTGCCTGGGAGGGCCTCTGCCCACTTAGCATTTGAGGGTCATCCCATGTCCCTCCCACAGCTCCTCCTAGTCACTCAAAGTGCTCCCCAAAGCTCCCTTTCTATCCCTCCCCCAGGTGACCCTCTGTGATCTTCAAAGATCAGTTGCTTTATTTCTTTCTGTTTGGACAGCTAGATTGGAAAATAGGGAGAGAAGCTATTGTCTTGCCCTCTGGGGGGAATTTAGCTCCAGTCCTTGTGAGTTCCGGCCAAGGTGCTGCTCACATTTGAAGACCCTCCATGAGATACCGTGGGCACTGATGAATACTGCTGGAGTTGTTTCTCCAAACTGGGCTTTGAAGCAAAAGTCTTTCACACTGGGAATATAGCTCAGTGGTAGAGGGCTGGCCTGGCATGCGTGAGGCCTGTGTTCAATCCCCAGTATACACATACGTGCAGGCACACAGGGACAGAGACAGAGACCAAGATCATGATTTCATGAATTTGAATTGCAGACGTGAGTGCTATACACCCTAGGGCCCTAAATATTAAGGTTGTAACTAGCTGTAGTTAAGTTTTAAATGAGAATGGCCCTCATAGGTTCTATGCTTGAATACTTGATCCCCAGATGGAACTGTTTAGGTGTGGACTTGTTGGAGGAGGTGTGTTACTTGGGGCAGGCTTTGAAGTTTCAAAAGCCACCTACATGGGACTGGAGAGACGGCTCAGAGGTTATGAGCACTGACTGCTCTTCTGGATAACCTGAGTTTGATTCCCAGCACCCATAACCATCTGAAACTCCAGTTCTAGAGGATCTGACACCCTCTTCTGGACTCCCCAGGTACCAGATATACATGTGCACATACATACATGCATGCAAAACATACACATAAAATTAAAAAAAAAAAAAACAGAACAGCTTCCTGCCTTCTCTGGTATGCTCACTCTACCTCCTGCTTGTGGTTCAAGATGGAAGCCCTCACCTATCCCTGCCTTCACTCTGCCATCCTGGACTCTCACTTCTGGAACCATAAACCCAAGGAAACAGTTTCTTTTATACATTACCTTGGTCATGAAGGTTTGGGGGGTATGTTTATTTAGTTGGGTTGTTTTGTTTTTCAAGACAGGGTTTCTCTGTGTAGCCCTAGCTATCCTGGAACTCACTCTGTAGATCAGGCTGGCTTCGAACTTACAAAGATCTGCCTGCCTCTGTCTCCTGAGTGCTGGAATTAAAGGTGTGTGCCATCACTGCCCGGCAATGCTTTTTTGTTTTCTTCTGTTTTGTTTACAGCAATAGGAAAGAAACTAAGACAGCCCCCAGCATGAGAGGTCTGTGGCTGTGTGGCTGTGCCATCGCTTGAGTCCCCACTGAACTACAGAGGGCACCCCCTCCACCTGTGTTTATCTCTGAGAAAGGGAATCTCCACCTGGAGATGTCCTTGCCTCTGTCTGTGTGCATGTTCACATGGCATTGGTGTATGAATTATAATTTTATAGAGCCAGGCATGGTGGCACATGCCTTTACTTCCAGCTCTCCACTGAGGCACATGGATCACTCTCAATTTGAGATCGATCAACCTGGTCTACATATTGCACCCACCCCAGGTCAGTCAAGGCCACATAGTAAGACCCTTGTCTCAAAAATAAATTTAATGTATATATAACAGAAATTTCCACAATCTTATCTCTACCCTTACTCCAGCCACCGCTGGCAAACTGCTATATGATCCCTTTAGCTCTTCTTCACATGTGTACGTGTGCATGTGTGCAGGCGCACATGTGTGCCTGTGGGCGTGAAGACCAGAGGCTGGTATCAGGTGCCTTCCTTGACGGTCCACCTTATAGACTGAAGCAGGGTCTCTCTTGAACCCAGCACTCACCTGACTAGACTGGTCTAGTCAGCCAGTCTTCCCCAGGATTCATCTCTTCCTTACAGGTCGGCTACACACCCACGTGACGTCCATGTGAGTACTGAGAAGCCAAGGGCTGGCCATAGAGCCATAAAGGGAGACACCCAACAACAGCCTCTGCACCCCTATACACATGTACACACATGGGTACAGACATAAATATGTTTTAACCACTCTGCACACACAAACACAACGGTCTCTATCACACACGCTCCCCAGTGTCAGATTAAGCCTGTAACCCCAATGAGAATGGCAGCCGTGGCTCTTTGTCACCGTATGGAGTGATCACGATGACCATTGATACACTGTATACACCATAGCGGTTCATGTCCGTTCTGTGCAGATAACACACACAACACACTTAGTCACTCACACTGGGCCTGTGGGGTAGGCAGTGTCCATTATTTGGTTTAGTTTGTTTGAGACAGGGTCTCTTATAGTTTGGGATGGTCTTGAACTCACTCTGTAGGTGAAGCTGGCCTTTAACTGCTGGTGCTCCTGCCTCTGCCTTCTACATGCTGAATTGTCGGTATGTATCGTTATTCCTGCTGAAATAGGTATAATTACTTCTGCTGTACAGATGGGAAAATGGAGGTATACAAGAGGTTAATTGCTTGTTTGGATTCCACAGTAGTGAGAAGTAGGCAAACCAGTATTTGGACCAGGCAGTCTGGCTTCAAACGCTGCACTTTAACTACCAGGTTTTGCAGCTGTCCCACTCTGCTCTCAGTGTCAGTGAGATTTTTAAAAAAAAAAAAGTTCCCTGCTAATTGAAGTGGATTGCCTATGTCACCCAGAGCTCCCTTTAAACAGTGCCATCTTAGTTTGTGTGGAGGGATGAGGGGGGCATGGCGCAGGGGCAGTCAGATCTCTGTGATCTGTGAGTTCAAGCCCAACCTGGTCTAAATAGCAAGTTCCAGGCCAACCAGGGGGCGTACTGAGACCCAGCCTCAAAACTTAAACTAAGTAACAGTACTGCCTTACCTATGAACCCAGCCTTAGACATCAGAACTTGCCAGTGCCGTTCATCTCTACATTTTGACCTTGTAGTGGCCGTGAGAGAATGGGCTCGTTAAAGTTCTCAGCCCCTTTCCCCCAGTTTTTTGTTTGTTTGTTTTGGTTTTGGTTTTTGGAGTTAGGGTTTTTCTGTGTAGCCCTGGGTGTCCTGTAATTCATTCTATAGACCAGGCTGGCCTCGAACTCAGAGATCTACTGGCCTCTGCCTCCCAAGTGCTGGGATTAAAGGCGTGGTGCACCACCACCTGGCACGCTGGTGGCTTTTGTTCACTTTTTATGGGGTGCTTAGGCAGTAGAGCTCTAAGATAGCCTCTGGAGAGCAAGCCACAAATATACGAGCAAGGAAGGTGTAACATGCTAGACCTGGTGGTGCGAGCCTGTAAGCCCAGCAGGAGACCTACAGAGAGGTGGGTGGATCTCTGTGATTTCAAGGCCAGCCTGGGATACCCTGTCTCAACAAAGGAACAAACTTGTGGTTCCTTTGTGAAGGTGGTTGTTTAGCCCCTTCATCTCCTGTGAGGGAGCCTTGGTTCTCAGGCTTAATTTTCAAAACGATGCTTGACTTGTATGGTGGGGTGGGGAGGGAAGAGAAGTGGGAGCGGGAGAGAGAAAGTGAGGGAGGGAGAGAGAGGGTAGGGGAAAGAGAGGAGGGAGAGGGAGAGAGTATGTGTTTGGTCTGCACGCATGTATGTGTGCCACGTGCATGTCTGGTACCTGTGAAGACTTAGAAGAGGGCCTCAGAGCCCCTGGAACTGGCGTTCCTGACAGTTGCGAGCTGCCTGATGTGGGTGCTGGGAGCTCATGGGCAAGAGCTGCAGTGTTAACTGCTGAGTTGCACACAGTGCCTTTACATTAGAGGAGAGACAGACGCTGGAGGAACAGCTCTCTGCTGGGGAAGGAAACGCTAAGGAAATGCTAAGATCCGGAGAGGTGAGCTCCTTTCCTGTCTAGTTACTGGTTTGGGCCTTGTTGCCCAAACTCTCTTATAGCCCAGGCTGGCCTTAAACTTGCTGTGTAGCCAAGACTGCTCCTGAACTACTGTGCCTCCTGCCTCCACCTCCTGAGTGCTGGGGTTACAGACATTCACCATACACCCAGTTTTAAAGAGGCAAAATCTGCACACAGAAGACCGAAAAGCAGAGAGCGGAGGGGCAGAGGTAGATGAGTTGGAAGAGCCTTCTCCCAGAGGCCGACCAGCTGAACTGACTGGGGAATGCCAGGAGACTTCAGGAGGAAGCCATCTGCAGAGCAGTTGGGGAGCCATGGCAGCTTCTCTCTATTGGGTCCTGGGACCTAGAAAAAACTCTAGGCCTTTAAGTGGTTTATTAAGTGATGTAATGCTTCATCTTCACTGTGTACCTTGAGAGCTGAAACCTGCTCAGAACAGCGCCTGGGTGGGGCTCTTGTGAGGTGCAGCCCTGCTCCTCTCACGCACAGGTAGCCACCTGGTGCTGGAGAACAAAGCCGCCTGCTCTTCAGAGCCTCCAGCAAGAACTTCCCCCACGTACACAATACACAGCCCTTCATCGGACCACACACCACTCTCAAAACTTCAGAACCCGCAGCCACAATATGAATCTAAAAGGAAGGCAAGCCCAGCCAGACGTGGTAGTGCAGGCCTCAAAGCCCAGCTCCTGAGAGGTAGAAGCAGGCAGGAGGGCGAGGAATTCAAGGTCATCTGCAGCCACAGAAGGAGTTCAAGGCCAGCATAGGCTGCCTGAGGCTGTAGCAGAATGGGGGGGGGGGAGGGGGAGCTTGGAAAATAGGTTGTTTATACTTAAGGAGGAGAAAGTTAGTGCAGATACTGATAGACCTGGAGTGAAATGAGTCCCCACCAAAAAGTCATGTTCAAAGGTGTCAGAATCAAGCAAGTGTCCATTTCCTCGTGGCCATCAACACCAGTGGACTGTCCTTTGTGCGCCTCTGAGGGTGACTTCACCATCCTCTGGATGAGAACTCCCTTAGATACAGATGCCCTAAGATGTAGTTCATGAAAATTCCCGGAGGCTGTTCGAGCTGCGGTCGCTCCCTGGAAGAACTGGCTGCTTTCCTAGCTTCCAGGAAGAGAAAAGGAAGCATCACCGCACCAACAAAAGGTGGTTGGCTTCCCACTTTAGGTGCATTGGAGAGGCCTGGGCACAGGGAGGCCTGGAGACCAGCCTTATGCAGTCCCCCGGAGCCGGAGTTACAGACAGGTGTAGGTGCTGGGAATTAAACCCAGGGCCTGTGGAAGAGCAGCCAGTGCTCTCAACCACTGAGCCACCTCTCTAGCCCAGTGGTTCCCAACCTTCCTGATGCTGCAACCCTTTAATACAGTTCCTCATGCTGTGCTGACCTCTCCAACCCTACACTTATTTCATTGCTACTTCATAACTGTATTTTTTGCTACTGTTATGAATCATAATGTAAATCTCTGATATGCAGGTTATCTAATATGTGACCCCAAGGTGGTCACTACCCACAGGTTGAGAACCACTGCTCTAGTCCCTCGTTGTTAGTTTGATTTTGTTTGTTTGTTTGTTTAGGTCAGTTAAGTAAAAAAACGTGCCAGTGTTGGGGCAAGTGGTATCGAGGACGAGGGATCTGCATGGTTCGGAGCTCTAGAGCACACCACCAGAGTGCTTGGCTCACTCTTGTTTCTTGATGCAAGAAATGTCCTTGCAAATCTCAGCTAAGGAGAACCCTTGGGATGTTCACTCAACCCTGGATGCATAATAGAGTCGCCTGGGAAATATAAAATATTCAAGCCTGGGGCCTACCCCAGTGACTGAAAAAATTGATTTGGGATGGGTTCCAGCCATTAGTGTTTTTTTTAAAAAGCCCCACAGGCTTTAAAAATCTAATTTACAGCAGACAGGAGTGAGAACCACTGCATTGGTGCGTGCTCACAGGAGGGCTGAATTCTGAGGAGTCCATCCCCACACAGCCATGGGGATTGCCACTGTCCACAGCTCTTCTCTGAATACTTTCAGATGGTTCCATTTTGGACCTCCCCTGCGACAGTGATAAATACTCTCTAAAGCAAGAAGACAGACAGCAGAGATGCGCCAGCACATCTAAGAGCAATGATTGATGAGCTGGAGACAGTTCGGTGGGAGAGCCCCTGCCCTGCACGTGTGGGGCCCTGGATTCAATCCCTGGCACAACAATGGCCCACACACGCCTTTAATCCCAGCCTTCGGGAGGCAGAGGCAGGTAGACCTCTGTGAGTTTGAGGCCAACCTGGTTACAGAATAAGTTCCAGGACAGTCATATCTATTATATAGAGAATTCCTTGAAAAGCAAAAACAAAACAAAACACAAACAAAAATTACCCGATACAGCAAAACCAACAAGACACTTGTACTTGGAGTTCGGGTTACATGAACCAATGATCTGGGAGGCTGGCTGCCGCATGGTTCTGTTCTGTTAAGGTCTGGGGAAGTGTGTGTGTGTGTCCACCTGGTGTCGCAGTGACCCGGGTGCGTGTGTGGGTGGAACTTGCACATCCCCAAAGGGGAAAGACCCTTGGGTGGGAAGACACTGCCACCCCCACCCCCAGCTTGCCTTCAGAACAGTGGGGAGATTTCCATATTGCCAACCACCCAGTGTTTCTGCTGCCTCCAAGTTCAAATCTGCACCCCCAGACTTCATCATTCATCACTTTCATTGCAGACTGAGGTTTCGAAACTTTTCTTACCCACCTGGTCTCGGCATAGATTTAAACTGCAGAATTCTAACCATTTAAAAGTAACTTTGCCGGGTGGTGGTGACGCACACCTTTAATTCCAGCACTTGGGAGGCAGAGGCCGGCGGATCTCTGTGTGAGGCCAGCCTGGCTTACAAGAACTAGTTCCAGGACAGCCAAGACTGTCACAGAGAAACCCTGTCTCAAAATATATAAATAAGGGGGGAAAAAAGAAAGAAGATGAGATATATTCATAAAAAAAATAGATAATAATAATACTAAGCAGCTTTTTTGGGCGGGCGAGATGGCCCAGCAGGTAAAGGGCACCTGCTACAGACCCTAAGGACTCTCACAAGTTGTCCTCTGATCCCCATGGGCCATGGCACACCTACACCCACAGTAAATAAATAAAAATGTGACGAGGGAAAAAAAGGAGCTGGGGAGATGGCCTAGTGGTTAAGAATACTTGCTACTCTTGAAGAGGACTCACGCCAGTTCCCAGCACTGATATGGGAGTTTAAACGTTGAGCCGTCTTTCCAGTCCCTAATTCATACAATAGAGAAACAGTCACAGATAACGGAGGAACGATTGTTCGAGCAGCAACTCTTGTGTTCTGCGTATCCATTTAACAAGCACATGGACAGTCTGGAGTAATTGTATTCTCTTCGTGAGCATAAACTTAGGAGCCGAGAGATGATAGGTGACAACTGCCTTCTGAATTTTTCCACATTCGTTTAGAAAAAAAGACCGGAAGGAAAGATGGCTACACAAAGCCTTTTCTCTTAGGGACTAATTTAAGGGCAGAGGAAAAACAAAACAAAACAGAATCCCCAGGTTGTCTGTCAGTCTGGTATGACCTAACCCTGACCTTCAAGGATACAGGAAAAGAACTGGCCACCGGCAGAGCAGAGGGAGGCAGGGTGTCCACGAGAGAGGTGAGCTGCGAAAGGACAGCATTGTTAGGTAGTAGCCGCCTTTCTGTACTCAAGACAGTCCCACTTTGAATTATGTACTAAGTAGTATTGTGACCTACACGGCCTTGAAGAAAGCCCTCGTGGAGGAAACAGAGCATACTGCTACTATCTGAGAGCTATTTTAGATTGTCTGAATTTTTTGGAGATGGGAGATTTGGTATCTATATCTCTCAGGGTAGTCTTTTCTTTTTGAGACAAGGTCTCTCTAGCCCCAGCTATCCTGGAACTCTGTGTAGACCAGACTGACCTCAAATTCACAAAGCTCTCCCTGCCTCTGCCTCCTGAATGCTGAAATTAAAGGTGTGCGCCACTCTACCTGGCTCAGGCTAGTCTTGAACTCAACAGGGTCAAGCGATCCTTCTGCCCCAGCCTCAAGCAGCTGGGACTGCAGGTGATGCATCAACAGCTGGGACCTGTATGTGAAATCCCAGGAATCTAGATTTCTGGCTCCTTCAAGTGGCTCAGGACCTGACTACGCGAGCCCCTCCCGCCACAGGGGAACGCACCTCTGTGTGGAACATCTGTTCTCCATGAGGCTGCTACACCCACTTTTTGGTTCTGCCCACTCCCTGCTCGTTTTCCTTGATCTAAAATGTTGCATATTGCAACTCTGAGAGGGGGGAGGGAAGAGCAAAGAGATCCCTAAGACCCTGGCCCCTCCAGACTCTGCTGCCTCTTGATGTAGCATGGGTGGCCCTGGGCTCCTGGGCTCCGTAATGGCATCAAGACAAGACCTCGCTTGTTTATCTAAACACTAACTGGAGTGCTGCCTGTCGCTGAATGTTCTAGCAGGGTGGCCATGAAGTCACTCAGGCTGAGGTTGATGGGGGCTTACTATGTACTTTCTCAAGGACTCTGCAAATCTTGGAACAGCTCTCTGCCTCATTTCTAGAACGGAGACGGTGAGGTTTACTGTCACAGCCAGAGGCAGCACAAGCCAACAGACTCCTGTGCACCAGCTCTTTACCAAGTGACCGTGTCTTTAGCTGGGTACTTGCTGATGGCTCTAGCGGGGCCCCTCAGATGATCTGTAGGTCTCCAGCCCAATACGAATGCGACAGTGGCTTCAATATTCAGTATTATTTCTGTATTTTATAGATTCTTGTGTGGAGGTCGGAGGACTTGTAGTAGCTGCTTATCTCTTTCCAACATGTGAGTCCCAGACAAGGAACTCAAGTTTGGCCCAAAGTGTCTTCCCTTACTGGGCCATCTCAACAGCCTTTATGAGCATGCTCTTAGCTGGGCAGTGGTGGCACACGTCTTCAATTCTGGCACTGGGAAGGCAGAGGCAGGAGGATCTCAGTGAATTCCAGCCCAGCCTGGTCTACAGAGTGAGTTCCAGGACGCCAGGGCTGTTACACAGAGAAACCCTGTCTTGGCACACTCTTTGGAGCTGGGGCTAGAACTCAGTGCTTACCAGGCATGCACAAAGCTCAGGGATCATTCCCCGTCATAGAATAAACTGGGCATGGTGGACCTCACCTGTTCCTTCTCAGTGAAAGGAAGGGGAGTGAGAAGGTCAAGGTTATCCTTGGCTATGTAGGAAGCCTTTTAGCCCATACAGTGGTCATACAGTGGTGTCTCCTGAAGCAAGGTCTTTGATTTTGCAGGGTGGCTGTGGTTAAACGACAGAGGGACTGTGGATAAATCTGAGAGGAAAACTTCAAACTGCAGCTCATGTGCCTATAAAATTCTTTCAGCCGGTGAAGTTATCGCTGAAGCTTGGAGGACACAATTTTGGGATAGTCAAGACAGGCTTTCTTGCCTTGGCTGTCCTGGAACTCACTCTGTAGACCAGGCTGACCTCAAACTCACAGAGGTCCGCTTGCCTCTGCCTCACGATTGTTGGGATTAGAGGTTTGCGCCACCACTGCCCAGCCGGTAAATTCATTTTTAAAACTAGTCTTTAATTATCATTTCTCTTTAAGATTTTCCGGGATGTAAAAGCTCAAGGTCTCCAGCTGGCTCTAAACCTCTGCTAACAGCACCCTCCTCTCCTGAACCCCCTCTCCACCTCACCTCACCGAGCTCAGGGACCTGGAAAGTACGAGCGAGGCTGTCAAGTGGAAACTTAAGAGGTCGGGACGTCGGAAATAAAGCTGTGAAAGTGGGGAGGAAGACCTGTCTGGGCTTTAAGACCGGAATCTCCTGTGTTCCTGCTAGACCAATCTGCAGCTTTTGCAAACAGCCTTAATATCAGCGCCCCGCTGCGGAATTCAAAGCTCAGCTTGTCACGACTGCTAACACCTTCTTTGACCAGCCTCTTTCTACTTGACAATTTTTCTCTTCTGTTCCTCTGTCTTGCCACCGGGAAGGTTCCAGAAGAACATTGGTTTTAGGGAGTCCCCTCACATAGCTTACCGCCCCTTGGCGTGCAGAAGTCGGGGGAAGATACTCTGGGCTGGCCGGCTTGCAGGGTGAGTATGTTTTCAGACTTTGGGAAACGGGTGTGGGGGCGGGGATGGACTGGAGCGATTTTGGAGGTCCCTATGGGTCGTCTGTAAAGTTAACGAAGCTTCAGGTTCTAGGCTGGGGACAATGGCCGCCTTTCCAAGGCTACTGGCCCAGAGGTCTGTGCGGAGTAGCAGAGCCTTAGGCTGCACTGGGGGTCCCTAGTTTTCCAGGGGGCGCAGAGGCTGCAACTCTCGAGCCGGAGGGGCTGCGTCTATGACGGACCCCGGGTCTGGAGAGCAGCAGCCGGTGACCGGGAATCGGGTGCGCTCGCGGGCTCCGGGAGCCCTGCCACTCTTGTCAACTTTCCCGGCCCGGGGAGGAGGAGGGCGGTCGCGCGCAATACTTAAAGGCGGCTCGGCTGGGCCGGCGATCATCAGTCGGAGCGCGCGGCAGCACCGTGGAGGCAGCGCACGGCGGCGGCGGGAGCCGGAGGAGGGGCATGGAGCCGCCGCGGCCCTGCTGAGTACCGGAGCGCGGGCAGCCAGCGGCACGGTGAGCGCATCCAAGGGGCGGGCCATACGGGACTGCCCCTCCGGCGCCTCTTGCCGCGCCCTGGGGACCCCAGGGCTCTGGGTGGTCAGGGCTGCGGCCGTTTTAGGCTTCCCGGCGCGGTCTATGCAGCCGGTTCCCCACCGATCTCTACTCCCTTTCTTCCAACATCCTGGGCTCCTGCAACCTCTCTCCCTTCCTCCCTTGCGGCTCGTGTTTTGTGAATGAATTAGGAGGCGGGTGGGGGGGACTGTGGTGCGGGGCGCAAGGCTAGAGTGCCCTTCCCCCCACTCATGCCCGCAGGGGCTTCGCACCAAGATTTCCAGCGATCTGGTCCCCACAGCACGTGTCTTTGAGATGAGCTCCCACTCCTTGCCGGCTCAGAGGGGTCCGAGGGCGCCTAGGCGCGGGCGGAGGAGCCGCAACCGCCAGTGCAAGTTTCCATACCGGTGCGCGTGGGCCCGACTGCAGGGCGCACCTGTCAGATAAAGAGGCGCTGCGAACCTTGCAGACCCTCAAAGTTTCCCGGCTGGGTAGGGAGGTGTGCGTCCTTGCCTGGAGGTTTTATTTCTTTCCTTCCGTTGTCACGCAGCACGGCACATCGATCTTGTAAAGCACTCTAGCCTCCTGCCCTTGAACCCGAGTGCGCATTAGCTAGCCTGGGCCGGGCTTTCCTGGATCTCTTTTTGAGGGGTTGGGGGAAGCGGCCCTGGATATAAGATCACACTCTCGTCTACCGGCTTAGGGAAATACAGCCCCCTGTCTAGGCAGGGGACCTCAACCAGAGCCCGCGTCAGAACCTGATTGCACATAGGGTATCTGGCTGCAGGATCTTCTTCGGTCTTCTGTGGGGATGTGGGTACAAAGGTAGTGCCTCTTAATTCCTGAGGGGGAGGGGTCCGGCCCGCGGATGGAAGGGACTGGCAACAGCCAGGATGTCGCCTTTGTTTGCAGGCACTCTTTCGCCAAGGTACCTGGGGCCCTGGGAAGATGAGTAGGGCCTGATTTAGCTGTTATTTCTTGGATTTTCCGTTCCTTCTCTGGGTCGTGGAAATCGGCACGTGGGTGTGGCCGTGTGTCTTCAGCCAGCCGGGCGAAGCTCAAGCCGGGTGAGGAGCGTGGCGAGAGCTTCGCTAGCTGCCTTGGACCTGACCGGATAGCCTCCGGAACTGCACCGAGGCGGGGCGCCAGGGCGCAGGTTGCTGGGCTAGCCAGGGCACCTCCTGTCCCTTCCCAGAACAAGGCAAGCCGTAGGGCCCGCAGCGCCCCCCCCCCCATGCGTCAGCCAGAGGGGGACCGGCAGGGGACGTAGGCCTGGGGCGTCCTGGGCTGGGTGTGTGCAGGGAGAGCTGGGGGTCCTACAGAGGAATCACGCAGTGGCTCCTGGGGCTGGTGGAGCGTTGAGCCCCAGAGGCCAGGCTTCCCGGAGAGGCCAAGCTGCCTGGCGCCCTTTCAGATCTACAGGGCTGGAAGAATGCTTGTGCAGACTGAAGCAGTGACTGCCTGTTCCTCACCCATCCTATGTGAGGGGTGTCCTTGGCAGCAAAGTCTGTTCCTGTTGGGATGGGGCCCAGTTTCAGGGAGATCAGAGTTGAAGCAGGCTTGGAAGTGAGAGGTCATTGTCCGAGACCAGGGTGGAAACGGATTCTCCGGATGGGACAGGTAGCAGCGGCAGGAGGGGAGGGCAAACTCTCCTTACCCCTCTGCTTCATACCCTCTCCCTCGAGAGCTAATGTACATCCATTTTCTGGGAAATCACCTAGATCTGAGAAGCAAGGAATCATTAGCACCACTCCCGGGAACAGGGACACTAAATCTTTGGGCAAGGTCAGGTAGCCAGGAGGCAGTGGAGTTTGTCCAACCCTTGGTCTCTGCTGCCAAGTCCTGGGCTCCTTTCCTTAATGCATAGCTGTTCCCAACGGGGCAGGTGCTAGGAACCCCAACTTAGTTACCAACGGAAACCTGCATTGTTTGCCCGACTGGCTGGGCAGGGGAGCCTACCAGGGCACTAGGACCAAGTAGGTGAGAGTCCCCAGCAGCCATCTCTGCAGTGCCTGCAGCTGTTCCCCCTGGCTCTCCGTGCTGGACTTGCAGGAGGGCTGTCCATACCCCAACTCTAACACCACCCCCCTCAATCCCCTCTGGCCTTCTCTCCTGCCTCTCAAGGAAAGGAAAAAGTGAAAGCAAACACCAGGCGGTTCTTGGGGACTAGCAGTGGAAAAGGGAAATGATTTATGCCTATCTACCTCACACCCCTTCATGTTCCTGCCCCTGCTTTCTCCGTGGGGTTTTGCTGTTACAGAGGAACAATTCCCCCCTAGACTGCACTCGCCCATTAGAGGTGACAGCTAGAGGCCAAGGGCTGACACCTGACCCCTCTTCTCCCATGATGCCTGTCTCCTCTGTGCCCAGCGTCCCTGCTGAAGCTCTCCCACATCCCAGGGACTAACTAGCCTTCAGTTTATCTACGGTCAATGCTACTCTAATTCCCTTACCTGTCACCTGTTTGCTCCTGGAACATGCTGTGAGGTTAGGAGTAGGACACATTTTACAGTCACACAGCTAAAGAGGGAGAGGGCTGGGCAGACAGAAATGGCAGAACCGGGACTTGAACCCCAGCAGTCTAGCTTCTGAGTTTCCATGTGGTCTTGGTCAAGTTCAATGAAGTGTCAATGGTTTTTATTAGTGGGTCGTTTCTTGTTCTGGGCCTATCTCTGAGGATGCTCCTCTGAGACTGCTGCCCCTGCCTGACCCCACTATCTCTTCTGTTCCCAGATGCCGGTTCAGCTGACTACAGCCCTGCGTGTGGTGGGCACCAGTCTGTTTGCCCTGGTGGTGCTAGGGGGCATCCTGGCAGCCTACGTGACAGGCTACCAGTTTATCCACACAGAAAAGCACTACCTGTCCTTTGGCCTCTACGGTGCCATCCTGGGTCTACATTTGCTCATCCAGAGCCTGTTTGCCTTCCTGGAGCACCGTCGCATGCGCAGGGCAGAGCGCCCACTGAAGCTGCATTGCTCTCAGAAGCGACGTTCGGTGGCACTCTGCATTGCTGCCTACCAAGAGGACCCTGAGTACTTGCGCAAGTGCCTGCGTTCAGCTCAGCGCATTGCCTTTCCAAACCTCAAGGTGGTCATGGTAGTGGATGGCAATCGCCAGGAAGATGCCTACATGTTGGACATCTTCCATGAGGTTCTGGGTGGCACTGAGCAAGCTGGCTTCTTTGTATGGCGTAGCAATTTCCATGAGGCGGGTGAAGGAGAAACAGAGGCCAGCCTACAGGAAGGCATGGAGCGTGTGCGAGCCGTGGTGTGGGCCAGCACCTTCTCCTGTATCATGCAGAAGTGGGGAGGAAAGCGTGAAGTCATGTACACAGCCTTCAAGGCCCTTGGCAACTCAGTGGACTACATCCAGGTAAGGCTGCCTCCCTAGAAGTGTGTGCACACTGGCACATACTCTCTCCTCGAGCAACTTAAATCTGCTGTAGGTCTTGGTGCTGCTGCCACCCCTCCTTGACCGTAAACAAGGCATAACAGTTCTGAGGAAACCCTGGGTTGTCCAAACCTGGGCTGTGGTTCTGTTGGTAACTGGGCAGACTTTTAAACTGGAGTCCCCATAATAACAGCAGCAAAAGGGTGCACAGCACTGACTTCATAACAAGCACTATTGGGGCTGCTTCAAATATATCCATTCTTTTAACCCTTATAATAGCTCTGCAGTTCAGCTTTCTGGGTTCAGAGAGAGGCGAAGAGAAGTTTAGAGGATAACTTGCTTAGGTCAAACAGCAGACCATGCGAGCCCGGCAGTCTATCCACGGCCTGCTTTTAGCCCTTGGCTCACTCCAGGCAATAGGGTGACCAAATACCATAAGGAAGTTTGAAGAGGGAACTAGAGAGATAGCTTAGCAGTTAAGAGTACTGGCTGGCTGGCTGTTCTGGTGGACCCACCTTCCGTTCCCAGAACCCTGTCTAACTTTAGTTCCAGAGTATCTGACACCCTCTTATGGCCTTTGTAGGTAATGCATGCATGTGATGCAGACTTACATGTAGACAAAACACTCATACACATAATAATAATTCTTTTTTCTTTTTGGCTTTTGGGACAAGCTCTGTAGACAAGGCTGGCTTTGAACTCACAGAGATCTGCCCGCCTCTCCCTCCTGAGTGCTGGGATTAACGGTGTGCACCATCACATGACATAAAAATAAATCTTAAAGAAAAGTATAATGATTAAAAGGATTCTGCTAAACACCACTCAGCTTTGTTTGCGTTAGGGCCACAAAGTCCTGTTCTTCCTAGTGTTGAATTCATGTCTGACAGCTGGAGGGACGCAGGCATATGAATGGCCAACTTCCTTTATCCCGTGTTGGCAGGGCTGGAACTCAAACAGACCCTGCCCAGATCCTGATCAAGTGGTCGCTGGCACCAGAATTCTATTAGACTGGCAAGGTTTGCATAGCTTAAAATTTCAAATACACAGTAGAGAGAGCAAAAAATATTAAACGTACACATTTCAGAACCAACTAAAAACAGACAACTCAGTTGCCCAGGTTCTGCTCCAGAATTCCTCCAGCCTCTTGTGACTTCTACTCTTGCCAAGGGTTCTGCCATCCGTTTACAAACACGAAGAGAATAGTGGCTGTTTGGAAGCCACGGTGTCCCGAGGCCATCTCATTGGCATCATGTTCAGTCCCTGAATACTACGAAGTGTTCAATAGTATAAAGTTAGCTTGTGTGTGTATTTCTCCCCAAGACAGGATTTCTTTGTATGCATGGCTGTCCTGGAACTTGCTTTGTAGACCAGGCTAGACTTGAACTCACAGAGATCCACCTGCCTCTGCCTCCCAGTGCTGGGATTAAAGGAGCACAACCACCACTGCCCGGCCCTACTTTGTCTTAAAGATTGTTTTTATTTCATATGTACGGATATTTTGCCTGCATATTATGTCTGTGCACCATGTGTGGTTGGTGTTCATGGAAGCCAGAAGAGGGAATTTGATTCCCTAGGACTGTAGCTGTAGGCAGCTATAGCAGTGGGAATCGAACCTGGGTCCTCTGGAAGAGCAGCCAATGCTCTTAACTGCTGAGCCAACTCTCTAGCCCCATCCCCCACCCCCTTTTTAAATGTTATCCTTGTATAATAGTTGACTTGTTTGTCTTTTCCTAAATCCATGGACCCAAGTATGTAAGCAGGGATGTGTCTAGAAGGCTGTTGATTCTGCAGTTTACCTGGGAACTTGGGGTCTTTGTTAAACTTTTCTTAGAACCCAGAAGCACAGGAAAAAGCCCTTTATCTTGATAACTGCTCAGGCAACAATAACTTTATTAGCCATTCCCTGAAGCATAGGAGCCAACCAAACCTGCTTTGCCTGTCTTCATCACCTGTGTTCTGGTGGACCTTCAGTCTCCCACTAAAGCCATGCTCTGCTCTTCATGGTCCTGAGCCACAACCTAAGGCAGCCCTGGTTACAGCCAGTGCTCGTTTGCTGGGCTTCAGCCACCCTTCCAACAGCCCTGCTAAAGATGTGTCTGCTCCTCTGTGGGGAAAAAACAAACCTTGCCCAGCCAGGGGAGACCCAGGCAGACATTACTCTTCCTTCCCTAACTGCGTAGTTATGACCTTCTTGGAGTGGATGAACCAAAACAGGACAGAGAATGGGTTAGAAATGGTTACTGAAGCCAGGTGGTGGTGGCACATGCCTTTAATCCCAGCACTGGGGAGCCAGAGGGAGGCAGATCTCTGTGAGTTCAAGGCCAGCCTGGTCTACAAGAGCTAGTTCCAAGACAGGCTCCAAAGCTACAGAGAAACCCCATATCAAAAAACAAAAACAAAAAGAAAGGGAAGAGGAAGGAAGGAAGGAAGGAAGGAAGGAGGGAGGGAGAGAGAGAGAGAGAGAGAGAGAGAGAGAAATTCACTGAGTCAAGACCAGCAGCATTGAGCAGTTGACCGTTAAATTGAGGCGGCGGCTCTGGGAGTCTAGATGAGACCTTCCCCAGCTCCAGGAAGGAAGTCTGGTGGGAGGACAGAGAAAGCAGAATTGGTGCTGATGGCTATACACTCCCCCTTTAGCGTTCTGCTGTTTGTTTGTGCCACCTTGTCTTCTAACATGAAGAGAATGAGGAAGGCTGGGGTGTCAGAGGCAGCCTCATTTCTTCTTGGTTCTGGAAATTTAATTAAGGGCCTTATGCCAGCAGCTTTAGTAAAAGCTTCTAAGGGATTTGAGTTTTTCTGCTTGGAGAACGGTGACCATTGAGCCCAGTCAGTGGTTAGTAAGTAAACCCAATTTCTCTGCCCAGTGGAATGCCAGGACCATCTCAGTAACTTCAAAAAGCATACAGAAAAAGGCTGGTCATGGTGGCTCACAACTTTAGTCCCAGCAACTGGGAGGCAGAAGCGGGCAGATCTTTGAGTTCAAGGCCTTTCTGGTCTACATAGTGCTTCAGCATGGCCATGGCTACATAAAGAGACTGTCTCAAAATGAAAGAAAGGAAAGAAGGCAGGCAGGAAATCAGCCGCCATGATACATGTTCCCAGAGCTCAGGTGCAACTAACAGCGATAAGATGCAGGTGTGACTGCTGGCAACTGCTGCCAGCTTCCGGGTTTATTCGGAGTAGTCAGATAAGAGGAGCTGTTGGCCTGTCATAAAGACTTGGCCAAGATTCCAAGCACAAAAGGTTTGGGCAGCAGCAGCTTCGTCTCATGGAGGGGCTTTTGGACAGGTAGGCTCATTCTTATCCCAGGGCTGTACGTTCAGCAGGAGAACACTGTAGGCACACTACCGATGAGAGCATCTCAGCAGTAGTCTGACATCATCATCCGGGACGCTCTCCTTCCCCTCGTGGTACCTGAACTGTTAGCTGTCCATTTCCTTACTTCCCTTTGCTTTCCCCTTCCCCTTTCTACCTAGCATTGCTGGAAGCGAATGGGAGAGGGGTCAGGCTCCTCAGGCAGGAGCAGCCCCCCCCCCAGGCGGGAGGGTACTTATACAGGCTGAGGGCGCTGACCACGCACTTCCCTGCAGGTGTGTGACTCTGACACCGTGCTGGACCCAGCCTGCACCATTGAGATGCTCCGAGTCTTGGAAGAAGATCCTCAAGTAGGGGGTGTTGGAGGAGATGTCCAAGTAAGAAGTAACCAAGAGTTCCTGGGGGTTGGGGCTGGCCTTTCCGGTTTACAAGCCCAGTGGGATATGCCTGGGAAATGAATCTCTGGACTTACTAGCATCTGAGGAGCAGTTTCCCTGATAGTTTGTGTGGTCTTTAAGGGCTCACTTCACTGACTGCCCAACTCATTTCCTGCTCTTATTGAACATGAGTAAGGGGAGGGGAGCATTAGAAAATTTGAAGAAGGGGGCTGGAGAGATGGCTCATCTATTAAGATCACTGCTGCTCTTGCAAAGGGCCCAGGTTCAATCACCAGCATCTACTTGATGGCTCAGAACATCCTAACTGCAGTTCTAGGGGATCTGATGCCCTCTTCTGGCCTCCACAGGCACACATGCCATTGGTGAACAGACATACATGTAGGAAATATTCACACACAAAATAAAAAAAAAATTTTTTGAAAGCTCATGTATTTGGAAGGACATAGGATCTGGATACTACAGGTCTCAGAAATAACTTCCTTTTGGACTGATAGTGTAGCAGATAGCTCCCAAGCTAGTTCCTTGAAAAGCCCATGTTCTAGGGAACGCAGGCTAAAGAGCTGTAGGGGATATGTTAAGCACACAGAGCCAGGTCTTCTGCCAGAGGACACTGCAGTCAATGTCATGTCCCCTTAAGGGCTTTCCAACCACTAAAGCCTTTCTAAGACCAGGCACTGACTCCTGGAGCATCTTAACCGGAAGTCAGTGCAGGTGTAAAGGTGGCTGGGGCTGGAGGGTGAGGCTCTATATGACCACTCCGAGTTTCGGATTCCTCAGTTCTAGTAAGTTCACAGCTAACATCCAGGATTGTGACCAGTAGGCTGCAGAACTCAGGGTGGAAAGGCCTCAGATGAACACAGCATCTCTATCCCCTTACAGATCCTCAACAAGTATGATTCCTGGATCTCCTTTCTGAGCAGTGTGAGGTACTGGATGGCCTTCAACGTGGAGCGGGCCTGCCAGTCCTACTTTGGCTGTGTGCAGTGTATCAGTGGGCCCTTGGGCATGTACCGAAACAGCCTCCTCCAGCAGTTCCTGGAGGACTGGTACCACCAGAAGTTCCTAGGCAGCAAGTGCAGCTTTGGGGATGATCGGCACCTTACCAACCGAGTCCTGAGTCTTGGCTACCGGACTAAGTATACAGCACGCTCTAAGTGCCTCACAGAGACCCCCACTAAGTACCTCAGATGGCTCAACCAGCAGACCCGCTGGAGCAAGTCTTACTTCCGGGAATGGCTCTATAATTCTCTGTGGTTCCATAAGCACCACCTCTGGATGACCTACGAATCAGTGGTCACAGGCTTCTTCCCATTCTTCCTCATTGCCACGGTCATACAACTTTTCTACCGGGGTCGCATCTGGAACATTCTCCTCTTCCTGCTGACGGTGCAGCTGGTGGGCATTATCAAGGCTACCTATGCCTGCTTCCTTCGAGGCAATGCAGAGATGATCTTCATGTCTCTCTACTCCCTTCTCTACATGTCCAGCCTCCTGCCAGCCAAGATCTTTGCCATTGCTACCATCAACAAGTCTGGCTGGGGCACTTCTGGCCGAAAAACCATTGTCGTGAACTTCATTGGCCTAATCCCTGTGTCCATCTGGGTAGCTGTTCTTTTAGGTGGCCTAGCATACACAGCTTATTGTCAGGACCTGTTCAGTGAGACTGAGCTAGCCTTCCTGGTCTCCGGGGCCATCCTGTACGGCTGCTACTGGGTAGCCCTCCTCATGCTGTACCTGGCCATTATTGCCCGGAGGTGTGGGAAGAAGCCAGAGCAGTACAGCCTGGCTTTCGCTGAGGTGTGACCTGACCCCTAAGTAAAGTGGGACAAGTGCAATGGGCAAGGGAGGGGAGGGAATGGAAAAGACAGGGTGGGAGGGCGCAGGGAGTGTTGTGTTCTAGTTTCATGGCCGAAAGGACAAACCTGAAATGCAAAGAACTGTGATTGTGGTGTGGCCTGCGGAGCTTCTGCTCTCGAAGCCCAGCACTGCTTGTTCAGATGGACTTGTCTGTTCTCAGGCTAGGTCTGCTTGCCCTTGCACAGGCAGTGATCTCGGAGAAGATTCTACTTCCTTCTGTTAACTACAGAGAGCCCAGAAATGGGCTAAACCAAGTGCTAACTTCCATCCTGTGACAACTTCTAGTACAGAAGCAAGCAAGCAATGACAGACTTTAGGAAAATGTCCTCCTACCCTATTTGAACATGAGGGATAAGAGAAGTTCCCATCAAGTCTGGCCAGCTAGTATCCCCTTCCCCAACCTCTAATTAGCCATCAATGCATTACGATTGTGCCTGAGATAACAAGGCTGGGAAGCCTGATCTTTGATCAGAAAACAGGGTCTAAGAAATGGTGCTTTATGTAATATACTCCACTCCACATCAAAACATCCCAGGGGTTAAGTACTGCGTTTGGTGGCGTTTGTGCATATTATAAAGGAAAGTTTGGTCATGGGTACAATCCCAGCACTTGGAAGGTAGATGTAAGAGATCAGAGGTACAAGGCCAGGTTGAGCTACCTGAGCTCCCAACTCTTACAAAAATAATTTGACAGGATGGACAGACAGATTGTCGGGGTGCTAAAAAAAAAACCACAGAAGCCTTGGACTGAATGTGTTCCAACTGGAAACTGCTCAGACTTTACAAGGGTTTCAAAATTGTCAAGACATTGTACTGAGCTCAAATCCACCAGGAAGCTCAAAACCCAATGTGTTCAGAGAAGTCTTAGTTACTATTTTGGCTCATTCATACCTGAATTCCTCTCAAATTCAGCTCTGATCTGAGGCCAGACATCCTACTTGACATTTCATTCCCTTCAAAGGCACACAGTTGTTCTTGGTTGTGATTTTCTAGTGGGGGAGAACAGCAATTACCTCTTCATTTTCATGGGGAAGCTTCTTCACGTGGCAGAGAACAAACTCTTACAAGACTTACAAGGCTGCCCCCTACATGCATGGAAAGAATACCATTGCTGATCGCACGGTTTTTCATCTCGGAACTGGTCAGTAACGTGGCAGCTGGTTGGCATGTGTGACTTTTAGATAACCGTTCTCGACAATCATCCCCAGTGGAAAGCTTTCTGGTGTTGCCCAAACGAACCCTCAAATCCAAGTTGGCCAACTTTAAGACAATCCATTCTCCTCAGTGGCTTCTCCAAGGAATCCTATGGCCAGGTAATGGATACTCCGTTTGCTCTTCAGTCCGGAAACCAAACTAGGAGCTGGAACTGGTCCAACAATCCTCAGACCTCTCACCACTCTGAGCTGCTTGATTTTCCTGCTTCTTTTGGAGAGTGATGAGAAGCTTTTTTTTTTTTTTTTATCGTTTTGAAATCAAGAGCAGACTCGGCTTTTGGATCTAAAACCTGGGAGCGTGACTAAGCCTTTGACTTTAGGGGTGCTTATACTTGTTCCAAACATTTGTTCTCAGAGGGGCCAGCTAACGCCTCAGAACCAACACTAAGGTGGAAAGCGGTGTACACAGGTGCTTCCTACAAAGGAATGAAGTGCACTCGGAACCACAGATGGGCAAACCCTGGCATTTCCCTTCCTCTCATGAACACAAGGGTTTTCCAGGTGTAGCTAACAGTTGCCACAGCACACAGACCTCAAGTTTCCAATAAAATTACTGACTGATGTCAAGCCCAACCAATGGCAGCTGGGAAGCGGCAGCCATTTGTTAAAGGCCGTTGCTCTGGGCTTTTCTGCAATGGAGGCAATCCGGTCAGTCAACCACAAGGCGTGTTTCCCTTCAGCTTTTACTTGAAGGCTAGCACAGGACAGTGGGCTCCGGATGAACACTGCTTGTCCTACCGTCACTCCTCTGCCTTGCACTGTGGTCGACGTTCCTCAGATTCAAGATCCAGGTACAGTAGTGAGCTTACAACATTTGACCTCGACTGGATTTTCTAATTTATTTTGTAAGTTTTTCAGCAGCAAAACTAAACTGGGTCTACAGCTGTATCCCTGTTTCTTGCAAGGGAAGAGCCTTTATACAATGAGACTCATTTTGAGTTTTCCTCATTGGAAATTTCAGCCTCTTTTGTATTATTTCTACAATTTGTAAACATATTTATTTTTACCTGCTTTTTTTAAACAAGGAGGGAACTTTATTTAACATTAAGGGTGGGAGGGAATCAGAAGGGAGGGGGCTTTGGTGGTAATGTTCTTATCACAGCCATTGAACACAATGCATGGGCCTCTTGCCTCTTAAGCAAAGTCACACTGCAGAGGTGTGCCGCGGGAGCTCATCTTCAGGTAAGCCTCTTTGCTCACTGCTGTCTACCCTTGCCAACCCCTTCCTACCTTAGCAGTGGAATGGCTTCTGGAAAACCTCCTTTGAGTTTCTAGCTTAGGCCATCTAAGTTCACAACCTTAACATCAGACTTATAGCCATCCTTCTCCTTGAAGTCTTAGATGAAGCCACACAGTCCTTTTACTGTCTGTACTTAATGGTGATTGATCTTGTTCCCAATGCTGTACATGGCTAGGAGTGGCAACATGCTGGGGCCATACTCTGTACTGCGCTATCTAGCAATGGGGCTGTGACTAGCCTTTTCACAAGAAGCTCCTTGTCCAGGAATGGTGGAGGAGGTTGAGAACTCGCCGCTGCTTATGCAGGCTGGCCATGCTCCAGCTCAAGTTTTCCCTGACTTATTTAGAAAGCATTCTAAGGATATGACCCTCCTTGAACTCAAATCCAGGAGCTGCTCCTGTTCCTTCAGGTTGCCAGAAAAATCATAGGTGGGAAATCCTCATAGAGTGCAGCAGAAGTCTCCCAGGACCCCTTTCTCAGGATGACCCTTCTGCTACCATCTTTCTTGATGCTGCTGTTATTGCAGGTGCCACAACCAATGTCCCTCTCCCACCCACCTGCAACCGCTTTTGCAGCTTTAACTCTGCCTTCTCCTTCTGCACCTCTGGGACTCTGATAGCAGAGCTCCACTCCCGTCATCCTCCTTCCTGATGTTCATGTTCGTAACTCCAGCATCATCTAGTGAGGATGCAGGCTCAAGATACTGGCTCCTCTTTATCCAGGACCACCTCTCCACTCTGGGTAATTGGTGCTGACCTTTGTCTAGCAGTATGGAACCTAAGTCCCTTTTTTGAGTCTAATGCTCAAGAGGCTATGTCATCTTCCAGCACTACCACTCTGAGGACTTTCTTCCCTTTCTGCTTAGTCATCTTAAAGGTCACCATCTCCTTGAGTGTGAAATACTGAGAAGCTGAGGCCCTGCTGAACTTGCAGTTGCGGGCTGACCCAGTTCTGCCAATTCTCACTCATGAGACCATTGGTTTATCACTCTAGTTCACATGGAAGGTGTCAAGTCCGTTCCTCTCCAATTCCCCATCTTATCTGGTTACCAAAGAGCAAAGGTTTTGGTATGTGAAGACCACTTGCATGGTGAGGTTTGGTACAAAGCAGGTGCTAGGGCTATTTCCACAGCCCCACGTTCTCCTTGGCCAACTTTTCACCCGCCAGGCTCACATTCCCCTGCAGCACACCTTCCTCCTCCTGCACCACTCCTTTGTCCTTAAAGATCTCTGTCTCTCCTTGGAATTAATGGCATGCTCCTCAGTGAGGTCCTGCAGGTCTCAAGCAAACTCCTTCACCTGCACTGATGCCGATCTCTTATCTAGCTCTTTCACCAGCTTAGTCCTCTACTCTGCCAAGTCTTCTGTAGCTCCTCACCATCCAAGCTTTGGTGCTCCCCAAGGCAGGGATCATACTCCCCCAACTTCTGGCTCAGGAGTGCCTTTCTTGTTAAAGGCCATGGGATTGAAACCTTGGCTGCTGTAAGCTCCTCTTTCTTAACACTGGCCTTCAAGAGTTTCAACCTCACCTTGGCTGGACTTGGCTGAGTAATAGCATCTCCTGAGCTGGATGGGGCATCACACTTTCTGGCTTCTCTACTGCTCAGAGTGCTGTGCAGCACCATTAGGGACCTGAGCTTCCAACCCCCCTCCCCCACCCTCACCTCTGTTGACTGCAGGTGTCATTCTGGTGCTGTTTCTTGTATTCCTGATGTTGCTATGGCAGCTTGATGGTGTGCCTGTGCCAGCCACCACTGGTTCTAGCCACCTTTCTCTCAAAGGAGCTTAATGACCCCACAGTTAGTGCTAAATTGGCCTTATTGGGCCACCACCAAGCCCCAATGCCACGAAATGCAAACAATTCTGGGTGACAAGGCAGCTGCCAACCTGTTGCTGGCAACCACGAGCAGCTGCTTCTGACGCTGTCATCTTCATTATCCTTGGAGATTAGCTTTTTGTTGTTTTCAGGTCAACAATTTTTTTTTACTGAACTTATCAAAATAAAAACTCTTCCACAATGCTGGTGTGTCCATCGCTGTGACAAAGCACCCAGGTGAGCTTCTGGAGGAAGGTTCACCCTGGCTCACACTTTTGGTGTCCTATCACTTTACTGTTCTGGGTACATGGTGAGGCAGAGTATCACAGAGCTAGAGGAAGCCAGGGACAAAACACACCTCTCCAAGCTATGTTCATATGACTAACTCTCTCCAGCTATGCTCTGCCTACAGCCTGCGTCACTTACCAATTAGCCTCCTACACCATGACTATCAGCAGAGCTGTTTCTCCACCCATGTCCAAGAATCCATCTCCTACCTCTACTATAGAGCTTCACTGGGGACCAAGTCTTCAACACATGAGGTTAGAAGTTTAGATCTAAAGAAACTGCTGGAATCTCAGAGCTATGTCCTCCTGTACTTAATAAACCTGATTCCTACTCTAGTTTTAAAAGGACTAATGGTAGAAATGGTAACAGTAGAATTCAGAAGAGGCCAGCAAGATGATGGCCCAGGAGTAAAAGAAACCTACTACCAAGCCTGATGACCTGATGACCACTGCCCACCCCCTACTGTCCTCTGACTCCCAGACATGCAAAACCAGTATGAGTGCACACATACCACTCAAATATTTAAAATGCTGGGCTGGAGAGACGGCTCGGTGGTTAAGAGCACTGACTGCTCTTCCAGAGGTCCTGAGTTCAATTCCCAGCAACTACATGGTGGCTCACAACCACTTATAATGAGATCTGGTGTCCTCTTCTGGCCTATAGGCAGGATACTGTATAAATAAATAATAAATAAATCTTTTANTTCCTATAGGGGGAAAAGGGGCGGAAGTGGAAAAGAAAAAAAAAAAAGGAGGGTGAAAAAGAAGGGGGGGGGGGGGGGGGGGGGTTAGAGAGATGGCTGAGTGGTTAAGAGCATTGCCTGCCCTTCCAAAGGTCCTGAGTTCAATTCCCGGCAACCACATGGTGGCTCACAACCATCTGTAATGAGGTCTGGTGCCCTCTTCTGGCCTGCAGACATACACACAGAATATTCCATACATAATAAATAAATAAATATTTAAAAAAAAAGGAAGCGGGAAGATATTAAAAACAATTAAAATGCTGATTTAAAAAAATTCAAAAATCAGGCAAGTTGTCACACTTGCATCAATTTCGGGAATTAAGTCACTTAGGCCACCCTAACACGACACATGCGTGAATGCTCATGCATACGCAGTATCAGTGAATCTCAGGCTCATGAAATAACTATCAGATGCAGTCTCCCAACCAAAAAATGCCAGCACTCCTCCAATTACTCCACAAAACAGAAACAGAAGAGTGACGGCTAAACCAAAGCTTACCGCTCAAATGCAAGCATGTTGGATACAAGGTTGTTGTCGCACCAAAACAAAGACAAGCAGAGGTTAAACGTGCCCACTGTGGAAGAGAGAACAAAATGGAATGACCGCAACAGCCCTCTCATCCCATTTATTAAAGAAACAGTAAGAAAAGAGACAATGCAGGAAAAACACCAACCATCCTTCACATCAGGCCGAACAAAGCACAGTGATTCTCCCTTTCGTCCCTCCACCCCCACCCTAATTCCCCAATTCCCATCCACATCAGTTTAAGTTTTGAGGTTCTTTGATTGGGAGTACCAGTGGAGAGGGAGCTGGATGATCAGAGGAGCCTTAAATCTGGCACCTAAGTCCCAGGGGAAAGGAGCTGCAGGTCCAGTCAAGCAGAAATGTGTGGATCTGTGACGTGAGTGTCCACCTCTCCGTTCTGTGTTCAAGCCCCCAGGGAAAGGTCTGGCAGTAGAACATGACCAGGTCCAGGGTGACCAGGCCAGAGTTACTGAAGCATGGTCCGCTCACCAATGCAGCAAGTGAGCCAATTCTCCAGTGGTGAGCAGGGGAATTAGGACCTGCAGGCCAGTGCATCCCTGAGGAAAAGTCCACAAGAACAAGTCAAGAAACTAGTAAGAAATGAGGGGCAGAAAGCTGTGGGACAACAGCACAGCAGGCGTCCAGAAATCCTTTTTCTTGAGGTCAGGATCATTTGATCTGCCATAGTCCGTGTCTCACAAATAATAATTTGCCTTCAGTCAAGAGAAAAAGCAGAGGAAAAAGAAGGCTCATTTGAACTTGAGCCCCAGCTATGTTCTTCAGACTGTAGCTCCAGATCTACTCCTTTATCTAAGACAGTCCCAGACCAGAACCACAGTATTTGAAAAACGAAGTGGCCCTGGAAGAAAAATGGTATTTAAGGGGGTAACATTCCATTTGGGTACATCGCAGCCATGGGACCCCCAGGTCTGGGGAAAGCAGCTGGATTTGAACCAGGGAGGCTGCCTACCCTAGGAAATGGGACCAAAGTCTTGGTTACAGGGCCATTCATCCTTGGAAAGGAAGCTGGGTTAAGACCCAGGGTTCCTGCTGGTCTTGCAAAAGGAGCTGGGTTGACACCCACAGGGCCTGCTGGAGAAGAGCCCAGGTGCCCAGCAGCTGACCTTGGGAAAGCAACCTGACCTGGGCCTAATGGGCCAGCAGACCTTGGGAAGGCAGCTGGACTTGGACCCTGCAGACCAGTGGCCCTTGGAAAGTTAGCTTGGTTGGGACCTAGTGGCCCAGAGGCTCTAGGGAAAATTGCTGGATTTGAGCCCTGGAGACCAGCAGACCTCTGAAAGGTACCTGGATTTGAAGCCAGTGAGCCAGAAGACTGAGAAAAGGCAGCTGGGTTCAGTCCTCCTGATCCTGTCCCTCTTGGAAAGGCTCCAGCATTTACCCCCATTGGGCCACCTGGCCTTGAGAAATGAGCTGAATTAGGGCCCATGGGGCCAGGAGCCCTTGACATGGCAGAGGGATTTGGCCCCGGAAGGCCAATTCCTCGAGAGCTAGGACCTGTGTTTGGTCCTATGGGACCAGGTACTCTTGTCATGGTAGGTGGGTTTGTGCCCATGTTTCCAGAAGCCTGTGAGAAAGAAGCTGAATTTGCTCCTAAAAGACCTGCTGCCCTTAGAATGGGAGCAAGATCTAAGCCTTGAGGTCCAGCCATTCTTAAGTTAAGACCAGATCCTGTACCCAAGAGGCCACCTGCTCTGGTATCCAGATTTGGGCCTGGGCCTAGGCCACCAGCTCTCGGGTTGGGCCCAAGGCCTGGACCTAAGCCACCTGCTCGTGGATTGGGCCCCAGGCCTGGGCCTGGAAACATACCCGACCTAGGAGCCGGGTTTGTACCTAAAAAGCTTGATCTCAGATTAGGACTTGGTCCAGGGCCCAGGCCAACTGGCCTAGGATTGGGAGGACCAGTACCAGAGGCTAAAACACCTGCCCTCAGGTTCGGCGCACATCCAGGGCCCATAGGGCCACCACTTCTGGGGTCAGGACTTGTTCCCAGGAGCCCACCTGCCCTTGGGTTGGCCATATGACCAGGGCCTGAAAGGCCGCCTAATCTGGGGTTAGACATAGGTCCTGGGCCTGGAAGACCCCCTGTTCTAGGGTTTAAACCCGGTCCTGGTCCCGGTCCCAAAAGGCCACCTGGCCTTGGGAAGGAAACTGCACCTGTACCAGTGGGATTCATCCCTCTTGGAAAAGAAGCCATGCTTGGGTCACGAGCACCAGCAGGAAAGTGTGCTGGATTTGAAGCCATTGAGCCTGATGAACTTGGAAAAGAAGCTGGATTCCTTGGAAATGGAGCCAGGTTCCCCCCAAGAGAACCTGCTGCCATAAGGAAAGGATCTGAGTTCACGCCCATTGGGTGGCCTGTGTTCATAGCAGGTCCTCCCTGTGGTCCCAGGGAACCGTCCAGCCGTCCTCGAGGTGGCAATGGAGCACGAGTCCAAGGAGTTGGCCGCTCTCTAAGGAAAATCCGGGGTTCTTTCATACTTTCTTGGGGACGTTGGTGATAATAGGCTTAGGGCGAGTTTTGAAGAGGATCTTGTTTTTGATGAGTGCTGTCACCAAATACCGAGTGCCAGTCTCTCGACCAAGCTCATCACAGTCCTGCTCCCCAGGAGTGTGCTTGACAAGGACTGCAAAAGGTTTCTCCAGGCGGATGATTTTCCCATACAGGATGTGGTGCCCCACGATCAGCACAGGGGTTCCCTTTGGCAGAAGAATGAGATGCCTGAGGTTGAGGGCAAGGCCATTCCTCTCAGGTGCCTTGTAAAGCTGCTCTTGGCAGCAATGCTGGCACCTCACAGTCCCTAATCTGGCTCTATCACTGTTAAAAAACTGCACTGGACAATCCACCCTTGTGCCCTTTTTATTCTTTCTAGCCCCAAGTAAAGAGCATTTCTATTTTTAGGACCTTGCAGATTCCCCAAGGCTCCACTGCCCTGCTACTGCGAAAGTGGTGGGACAGCAAGCAGACAGTTCTACAGACTGGCTAAACCTCGAGCCACAAACCTGAGGACAGTTCTCACACTGGGTCCTGGGAGCACCACCTCGGTGTAGCTTGCTTTACTGAGGCATAAGGTAGGGAATAAAAGCCCCCTCACCTCAGTGGTGTAATGTAGGTCTCCCAGGAGGTTTCCAGCTAATCCGGTGCTGTAGCGAGCCTCGATCTCCCCCTGTAGTTCCATCAGCACCCATTCTGCCAGGCCTCCAGCCCCCGCACTGCAAGCAAAGGGCTGGTGGTTACAATATTTTTGAGTGGTGAAGGATGAGTAATGTCCTATACCTACACCACCATTAGAGGCCCAAAGAAACTCTGGGATGAATACAAGTGCTTGGGAAATTGGGCAGTGCTGAGAACTGAAATAGAGATCTTAATGCAAATAGTTATATAAGATTTACCTGAGGACCCTAATGCTTCCAGAACAGTGTGAAACCAGTATAGCCCTTGGCACTCAAGCTAAGTAAAATCTTAAAACATACTTACCTAGAAATAACAATTTGCACCATGAGCCTTCCTTCTTTAAAAAAGCGACTGAAAAACTGGAGGAAGAAAAAAAAAGAAAAGAAAAAACACCTTTAGGGCAATAATAATTATAGCTAATATTTATCACTTACTTGTGTGATAGGTACCTTTTCCCTTTGAGAAGGGTTCTCTACACCAGGTTGTTCCTGAAGGTGAGGATGACCTTGAATTTCTGATTCTCCTGCCTCTACCTCCAGCTTATGTGTTGCTAGGGATCTCATCCAGGGCTACATGCTAGGCAACACTCTGCAAACTGAGTTGTACACTCCCGTCCAGTGTGTGGCAGGCACTTTTCAATTGTTTTTATTGAGCTATATATTCCCCCCTCCCCTTTTGCCCTCTCCCAGTCCCCATGTTCCCAATTTACTCAGATCTTGTCCTTTTCTTCTTCCCATGTAGTTAGATCCATGTATGTCTCTCTTAGGGTCCTCTTTATCTAGGTTCTCTGAGATTGTGAACTGTAGGCTGGTTTTTTTTTTTTTTTTTTTTTGCTTTTATGTCTAAAAGCCACTTATGAGTGAGTACATATGATATTTGTCTTTCTGGGTCTGAGTTACCTTACTCAATGTTTTCTAGATCCATCCATTTGACAGGCACTTTTCTAAGTGCTTTTAGGTACGTTCTCTACTGCCTAGCAAGGCCTAAAGGGCTAGGTTTTCTTGCTGATTCTGAACACATAGAGTACAGTTGCTATTGACAACAGCGAGACTGTTGTCTCACTCAGGTGTACTGCAGCAAATCACAAGGTTATTTCTTTTCTTTTCTTTCTTTTGAGATAGGGTTTCACTATATAACTCAGGCTATCCTGGTACTGTAAAGAGCAGACTGGCCTCAGGATCCATCTGTTTCTGTCTCCTGAGTCATGGAATTAAAGGCATGTGCTATTCTAATGTGACTCTCAACTAGTGGCCACCTTTCACTTAGATCAGGAAAACTCTTTATACTTTTACACTATCTAACAGTGCCACCTGGTGGCAGTTCTGCGTACCCTAAAAGCTGATGCTATCTAGCTTCATTTGCTCTGTGACTGTCATTCAGGGAGAGAGGAGACTGGATTGGAGGGCCAAAGCTACAACTTCTGGTTGTCTTTCGAATGAGACAATATATAGCGTAACCAACTGTGATATAATTGGTCAACAGGTTTTATAATTGTATTCAAACTTGACAAAACACTCCAAATTTTTTTCCCTTTTTTTTTTTTTTTTCCCTGTTCAAGCTAAGGACTTGCAACACAACCAAGGCTGGCTTAGGACTCCAGGTATACTCTTGCCTCAGCCTCCAGATAGTTAGGACTATAGCTGACTCCAGCATGTCATTTAATAGGCTTTTTACTGGTTATCATCACTCTGGACCTCCAGTAGGATGACAGAACCTCTTTCCAGAGCACCAAAAACAGAGTCAGTCAGCAGCTACCATATTTTGAATTTTCACTATGGACCATACACTATCTACATGTGAACATGGTATCTTCAATCAACATGGCAACTCTAGTAAGAGGTACTTATTCCTATTTTGAAGTTGAGGCTATTGGGTCATACATAGATAAAGTCACTTATTCATACGTGGTACATATTCAACTGGAGTAAAGATAGTAAAGCTGAGACAGGAAACTGGGTCATCTCGTTACTTAAAAATCACTACCTAACTTTCCCTTCCCAGAGGACAAAACCAAGAGCCAGCAGGAATGAAAAGGAATTAAGAAATTAGGCAGCCAGTGACAATATATTTAAATGTTGTTCACAACAGCAAAAGGGCACCAAGACTTGTACCACCTTGAATAAGTTAGGTCTCTGGACCAAAACAGGTTGTGGTCCCACCCAAGAAAAGGCAATTTATCAACTTCAAAGGCAAAGATCTTTGTACATATAACAAGACTAGTCACAGGCCCTAACCTGAGTGGTTTTTGAGACAAGGTCCATCTTTGAACTGGCAATCCTGTTTGAACTTCCCGAGTACCGTACGTATCAAAGGCAGGTAGCATTAAGTCCAGCCTCCAAAGCACTTCTGAAGTGAAAGGATACCAATCCCAATTCAAAAGGCTGAGATTCAGGTTCTAGCTTGAAAGTGGAAAGCTACTGCAAGATCACATTAAGTGACTACAGGCTAACACGTAGATTATGACTCACTTGTATCATGACTAAATATAACACATGCAAGATTGTTTAGACTCATAACCTATTGAGAACAGCTAATTTTTTAGATTGTAAAGAAAGAAGTTCAGCATTTTGAAAGTCTCTGACTATAATTCATCAAGTATGTAATATACGGATTGTAAATGGCCAATGCTGCACAGGTGAAGTTCTTTCAAATAAGCTTTGATGACTGAAGATGCAGGTGGTATATGATGATGAGCGCAAGGTATAACAAAATAAGATGGATGGTCTAAGGAAATGACATGGAGGCCATATAAGTGAACATCATGGTCTAAAGATAAAACTCACTTCCTGGAACTAGTGAGATGGTACAGTGGGTTTAGCCATGCAAGAATGAGCACCTGAGTTCAAATCTCCAGAACCCATGAAAACGGCAAACTTGCAGCATTAGCACCTGTAACAGCAGTGACCTCATGAGAAGACAAAGGAAAATCCTTAAAACGCCTGAAGGTATGCAGTGGAACAACCACCAAGACATCTAAGGTTGTCCTCCATATTTATATATGCATATATGCACCATACGTACCAAAATACCATACTTCCTGAAAACTCATTTCAATTTTTATGTGCTTTTATCCACAGGAATGAGATAGACAATGTGGATGTAAGGTATTTTCAGTGCATGCTCTGTTTCCTGGATAGTCTCCTATCAAACAAGAATTCACAACAATGGACTAAGAAGTGGCACTTGAATACCTACCTACCCATGGGACTTCAGTTGAAGACATACATTTTTACACAGATGCAGGAGGCCTTGCCTGAACTATTTCTATTAATACTGGCAAACATAGTAATTCTACGGGCCACAGCTTGGGCATTCTGTTACTATGCCCCACCAAGCCTGTAAAAACTTATGCTAAATCTATTTAGGTAATTCAAGCTCTATGGGTCAGTCTAGTTTAGATGCACCTATGTACTGAAATGATTATGTTTGTATAATTTGTGTATTTAATTTAGTAAAATTTAAAATTATACTTTCATGCCTTAAAATTTCCTGTAGCATCTAAATTCTATTATTCCTTTGCTTGCTCCTTGAGCTCACTAGAGAACTAGCCAAGAGCTAAACTAAGTGCTGAACTGGGGACACAACCGATGGGGGTGACAGGAGAATGAGCATGGATTTTATTCAAAAGGACATAAAAAGCCAGGTGTGCTGGTATACACCTGGAATCCCTGCATTTGGGAGGCTGAGGCAAAAAGACTGAGTTCCTGCCCAGTTACACAGAAAGATCCTGTTTCTAAAAACAAAAATGGGTAAGAAAATGATCATCTTAATCTGTACCTAACTCCTTGAGACTAGGCAGGAGGGAAAAAAAAACTACAAAAGATGAGGAGGCCAAGTATAACACCTCTAAAACATGAAATGTTTCCAAATATGAAAAATTTAATTTATATTAGGTTACTTACTAGTATCAAATTTTAAGTTTTTCAGTTTTATCAATTTAAATGTGCTCATCTGCTAAGTCAATGCAAATATTCCAAAATCTGAAGCCTTTCTTGTGTGAACTGAGTAACGCTTAACCTGTAACAAGCCAAATTCTGTTAGTAGTAACAAAGAACAAAAACACCACAAAGAAATTTTTCTGTAAGGCATCAATTTCTGAGTCTTCAGTCTCACTTCATTCTAACACTAAGAGACAATGACCATTTCTAGGTTGGCCTGAGATTTGGCTTGTTTAGAAAAGCAGCAGTGTTACCAATACAAAAAGAGTTTATGTCGCTAATCTTTGGAATGTTTACTGCATTATCTCATTTTATCCTGTCATGGTCATCACACTCTTTATGGCAAGGAAACAGGTTTAGAAAGGCTAAAGGTTAAGCAACTGATCACATAGCTGTAAGAAGTAGAGGCAATGCAACACTAACCACTACACAGTACGGTCCTTCTCATACAGTACTTCAAGATATGCAATTGGTCTTATTCTCCTACAAAACTGCAAGCAACCTTGTAACTTGTCTCGAAAGTAGCTAATAATTCAAGCTAATACATCAAAGTAGTTAACAATTAAGCTAGCTATTATCCCTGTCTAGGTTTTCGAAACCTTTAAAAGTCAAATTCAATGCCACCTTCAGGATTCAAAATTATACCCTGATCTCTGCCCCTCATGAGGAAGAGAGGTCATGAGGACTGAGGACTTTTCATTTTAATATCTGACCAAACTCAATTCTCATCCTCTGCTCTCTATATCATTACATATTACAGGGTTATAATATCTTAGAGATCAGTGACCCTCACAATGGTAACTTCCCAAAATAATATGTGGTATGATATATACCTAATCATACAAGTAGAAAAACAAAGGACCGTGACTCAATGATTCAACAACATATAAAACTTTCTAGGACTAAACAATGTTTTATAAATGTCCATTTTATCAGCCTAGTCTACAGATCATGTTCCAGGACAGCCAGGGCTACATAAAGAAACCCTGTCTGGAAAAAAGTTCATTATAACATATCCAAACAGCTAGTGTTGTCTTTTGCTTTTACTGCTGGACTAAACCAATGTACAAGATAGGCACTAGTTCTTCGAGTATTTTTGGTTTTCCCTGTTTTAAACGGAATCTCTTGTAATTTTCCAAAACTACACTTTAAAATTCACTTCTTTATAGTATAAAAAAGTTAAACATATTTCTTAGTATATGTCAAGTAGAATATCACTAATACCCACATTGCCAATGTTTACAATGAATAAAAATAGCCTATAAAAACAGGAGGTCATCAAGTCAACTTTCTAACTGGAGAACAGTTCAAACACTAAAATCAGGGTTTACCAAATTGCCTCAGAATTAAGCTGTTCTAGGTCATTTCTCTAAACATGACAACTACTTCTCTGTGTCTTTCTGCCAAATGAACAGCCGAGGACATTTTATATATGACTGAATACAAATCACTTTTATTACCAGTGTCATGGTGGTTCTGTGACTGGAGGGAATGTTTGATCCTAACTTCTAAGGGTGCCTTGTCTCTTGGCGGGGTTAAAGACTCAACTACTTTAAATGAGACACTTGTTCCCCTGCAAAAGGGGCTGTGGAGGGAAGATGGAACTGAATGCTTCCGAACTTTAATTAGTGAAGAATGTTTTCCAAACGTGTTTAGACACTATGCACACACGTGGTACGTTCCCATCACGTGGTAGGCTTCCTCCATTGGAGGGAATCAATTACTGTTATTTGTAGACAATGGGTAGAAAAGATGGCTTCGGTCGATTTGAGTTATTCCGGTTTTCTCCATCTTCTGCTACTCTGCCACCCCACTTCAACCTTTCCTCCACTTCCTGGCATCACTGCCTCTTCCTCCCAACCCTTTCTGGCGGAGCGCGCGAGCGTGCGCTGCGGTTGCAAGGGAGGTCCCCTCTCGGCTGGATTCTTCTCCCATTTTCTTCTCTCTCCTCCACCCTTGGTCCCCCTCCCACTCTTTCGCCTAGACAGACTCTACTTGTAAGCCCACCCACTTTCTGGAAACCCCCTCCCCCCGTTTCTCCAACTCCCTTCAAACTATCCGAGACTACTATTGGAACTGTTTTTACCACGGTGTCTAATCCACCATCTACCTCCCTAAGAAACTACCCCGACTCTTATTTAAAGTGCTTTTCCTTCCATGTGTGGCCCCCACCGGTCTTCAAATCCTTTACCCTCCTCCCAAAAAAATCCTCTTTCAACTACCTTCCTCTACCATTCAATTCAACTATCTAAAATTGTTCCTAGTCCCGCTTCTCTAGGCCACCACCCTCCTCGACCCTAGGCTCCACTCCACCCACAAAGCCCCCGAGATCACTTTGCAACCACCCTCCTAATATTGTCTCCCAGAAGCCCCCCCCCCAACACCATGATTTAAAATAAATGTCCCCTGGAACAAGCCTCGCATTTCTGTCAGCTCCGCCCAACCCCCAATTTGAGCCTCCTTCTGCCATTCCCGCTACTTTCTGGGTTCCAGGTCCATCCGACTCCAGCAGGCCTCCCGAACGGGGACTGAGCCCCTTTCCCCGCACATACCTCGAGGATCCGGCCCGCGCCGCCCCCTGCTCCGTCCTCCGCCCGCGCTCCGCCAGTCTTTCCACCTTTCTCCCACTCCGCCCAGCTCGCTCGCTGCCTTCCTTCCGTCCCTGTCCAAGCTCAGCATCCCTAAGCTCCCCCAGCCCGCTGCGGGCTAGCCTCGGCCCCCGCGGCCCTCAAGCTCCCTGGCCCCGCATGCGCCCCTCCCCCGCCCGCTCCCCGCCCCTCCGCTCGCCATTCTTCTCCCCGAGCCGCGCGCCCCGCCCGGCCCCGGCTCCCTAGCTGGCCGCTCCACCGCGCTCTCGCCCCGGTTCCCGCCTCCGGCCTCATTCCCCGCGGCCTCCCGCGCCCCCCACCCGCGGCCTGACCTGCAATGGCGGCCGCCGAGCGCGGCGCCGCGCGGCCAACGGGCGACAACCGAACCTCCCGCCGCCGTCGCCGCCGCCGCGAGCATTGCCTGCGCACTTCCGGCCTCTCTTCGCCGAGTACTTCCGGGGTAGAGCTGGAGAGCGCGCGCGCGCACGTGGGGGCCGGGGCGGAGAGAGGTGAGGTCCGGGCTAGCGAGTGCCGGGCGGTAAGTGAGTTCGGGAAGAACCTCCGGAGGCTGCCGGGACAGTGGGTTCTGAGGGGGTGCAGCTCGCCTGGGGTTGGGGACCCGCGAACATTGTCAGATAGCCGGTTCCAGGGGGTGGAAGTCACTCCTGGGACCTAGCATAGGGCAGGGGGTGGCGAAGCCTCTCGCTCTTCAAAACGTGCCCTCTCTGCCTGTGGCTTCCTAATCTTGAGGGTAGACGAGTGAGGGGCAGATAAGTTCCACTCAGTAGGTGTGTGCGGGGTAACTACTAGACGAGGCAGTCGGGAAAAATCACCAAGTCTTGTCGCTGCTCACTTGTGCTCTGGGTCGTCTCCCCCCCCACCACCCCATCAGCCTCACGTCCCTGTCGTGGAGTGGATCTGTCATTTGCAAACTTAGTAAAGTTAAGAGTTTAGCATTCTTGCTAAAATGCCGGTTTTCAAACTCTTCTCCTCCAGTAGGCTAAAAAGACAAGGACTGGAGTAGGCCCTTGGGGTTAATTTGTTGAAGCATCCGTGTTGAGGGGAGGTCGAGCCTTGCTGGGGCACGATATCATTATTGGAAATGAACGTTAATGAGAGATCGTTGGAATCTCCCATCCAGCAGTGGTGGTAATAAATTGAATGCCTGCGAGATTCTCCAGTTAACGTTTAACGATGTCTTTTTGTCCCCCCAGGAATGGGTGAATTTAAGGTCCATCGAGTACGTTTCTTTAATTATGTTCCATCAGGCATCCGCTGCGTTGCTTACAATAACCAGTCAAACAGATTGGCTGTCTCACGAACAGATGGCACAGTGGAAATTTATAACTTGTCAGCAAACTACTTTCAGGAGAAAGTAAGTCTTTAGGGAGCCTGGTGTGGTGGTCCTGATGTTAACTCCAAGTTCCAAGTCTACAGCTTACATGTCCTATCTTAAGATAGATGGAGTGAGTGCACCTGCGATGGAATTGCCTAGAACTACAGAGCTTCTGTAGCATATATGAAATCCTTTGATTGGCGAAAGCAGGTCAGGGTTTGTCTAGCTGAAGTTGTGTAGAAAGATCCTACCTGTGTCGTGCCATTTAGGGACTGAAGTGTGCTGGGTCTTGCCCCTAGAAGAAAGGAAAATGTTGAGATCGTTGTGATTTTGGTAAAATACCATTTCCTGCTGGGAGTCTTAGTATGCATTCTATTGTCAATCAAAGGTCTTCAAACGCTGTAATACCTAATACCGGAAAACTCTGGAACATGATAGCAGGTAGCGTGATAACAAGTTCACTGGTCTCTAAGGATGTGGACTAATTGTCTATATTTAGGAGTAGAGGAAATTTTTAATTAGATAAAATGTCTTTGGGTACACATCAAGTATCATTTTTTTGTGCAGCAGTATTCTGCCTACGTGCATGTATGTACACCTCAGTTGT